AAAAAAAAATAAAAGTAACACATAAAAAAGTAAAATAAAATAAACGTCACATATAAAAAAAGGGGAAAAAAACCCCCCAAAATGTTTAACTCCCCCACCCCCACGTTTACGCGCCTATAAACGTAAATACGCGTCCGGTGCCCCAGCGCGCAAAAATTACAATTGCGCTACACATGTTACATATCGCCGCGAACGTCGCAGTGAGAGCAATCATTTTAGGGCCATCAATCACTGATAACACTAAACTGATGAGCGGTAACAGCTTTTAAAGCGTCGCCTATGGCCAATTTTGGGTATTATCGTTTTTTGAGGTTTCGCGCGCGCACGCAATTTTAAGGCTTGACATGTTTAGTGTCTTTTTACCCGACGTGACCCCATCTTTTATATTTTACCAAAAAATTGGGTAATAATAAATGTTTTATCATTTAATATAGGGGAAACTGTTTTTTTTTTTAAATTTCGGTAATTTTTCCTTAATATAGTAAAAAAATAAAACCCCCAGTGGTGAATAAATACCACCAAAAGAAAGCTCTATCTGTCCCCAAAAAAGGGTATAAAATTCATTTCAGTACAGCGCTGCATGACGGAATAAATGTCAGTTAAAGTACCGCAGCGCTGAATACTGAAAAATGGCCTGTATGGTAAGGGGGTTTAACACCGCGGATGTCAACTGGTTAATAGATGTCACTCAGAATAATAAGCGTTTTCTGGGGGCCGCACAGGGTCCCCTTCAACAGGCTCAGAGTAGACTTATGAGCTTCTGTCGTGCTGGTGATATCTACATTTTATACTGAGCTTTGGGTGACGGGAGCATGCTAGTTTGTGTCCTCCCGTGACCCTGGGGAGAACTATGGGGAAAAGCACTGACCCCATAGTTCTCCATTAAATGTATGTAGACACAGGAAGCAGTAATGTTTTTTTTTCTTTAGAACGTGTGCTGCTTCAAACATGGAGACATTATGGTGACCTTACCATGTATATTATGGATTATTTTTAAACAGTAACAGTGTTTTCTGTAAAACATTCAATCTGTATAGCACTTATATAAAGATGACCTCAACCCAAAGTGGAAGACTTCCCCTCTTTTCATGTTGTAGTGACAAATCAAATTTTTGGATTTCCTCTACATTTCACTTCTGGGAACAGTGGTCACTAGCACAAAAATAGATAGTGAATATCCCCAGTAAGTACACAGCAATAAAAACCTGTCAGGGTTGATACAGCTTCCTTGCTCTAAAACTAATGGCTTTAGATATACTTGAATACTCCTTTTGGGAGTTATATTTGACATTGTTGTGTTAAGCTACTTATCGTATATACTATTTATTTTTTATGCTATGTAGTATGTGCACAGATGGCTTCTTTTCTAGTTGTTGTATAGTTTGGTGTAACACAAATGATTAGAAACCATGAAAAAAACAATTCTGCCAATGACTAGATATGGTCTGTTTTTGAATGAATGACGACTTTGACACTAGATGATGCTGCAACACATACTAACATGTTTGCGCATATTTGCAGCATGGTTGTGCAAATTGCTTTTTAGAGGAAATCTTGTAAACCCTTACTCTAGGTCATT